TCCTTTTTACAGGAGGTAATGGATAGAGTAATTAGATAAGATTAAAATTTTATTAACGAAATTCAGAAAAAATTTGAACTCGGGTTATAATTTTATTTAAATTCATGTTCTTTTATAAAATTTGAGTTTGAACTCGAATTTGAGAGTTAAATTCGAGTTCAAGTTTTCCCTTAAACTCGAGTTTATAAACTCGAACTCAAATTAATAAACAATATTTTTTCTATTATTAAAAATGTCATAACTTTTTCGTTTTAATTTTGATTGAGATAATTTTTTTTTATGCATTCACAACGAAAAGACGAATAAAACTCCACCCATATACCCTATTAAAATTTTTCATCACCATTGAGTTTTTATTAAAATACTATCTAAATACAAATTTAAGTTTTGACCCACCTAAACACAAACTCAAAAAGATTCTCAATTCAAATCATAACTCAAATGTGCACATCCAAACACAAACTCAAGTTACAACTTCAACTCAAGTTATAATTCAAACTCAACTCAAGATCATCACTCAAGTCACCTTAACTCAAAAATACAAAAGAACAACCTTTAAGAGTTTTTTTTTTTTGGTAGGAGGGATAGATTTATGAAATGATGGATAGGATATGAAGGAAGTGGAGTGAGAAAGAATGGATGGATTGTAATTTTCTCAGTTATTTAGTATGATAGGAAGGAATGATTGTTATTATCTTTCTCTCTCGTTTTGGTATTGAAAAGGAATAAAGAGGGGAGGATTAGTTTGATTTCTAAAATTACTATATTATCCATCCAAATTAACTGATTTTCTTTTTTAAGTTAAATTGTCTAAAACGGAATCAGAAATCAACAAATAAAATTGAAGTAATCAAATTAGAAGAGAAAAAAAAAAAAAAAAAAAAGAGAGAAATCTAATTCATATTCGACCCAAGAATTAAACTAAAATGAAACTTGACTTTCAATATCAAACTATAGCAAAAGTACGCTTTGTTCATTTCAAAGAAACCGTGAACAGAATAAGAGTAAATGAAGACGGAATTGAAGATTTCTACAAGGTGCGCCACATTCCCTACATCTCAATCTCTCACACTCGTAGTCCTTTCAACATACATAACATCCAAGTGTAATCCCTCTATCATATAATCTTTCTATTTTAAGCTAGTTTGTTTGATAAGTAATTTTTTCTGTATATACACTTTTTTTTCCCCCTGTCATATAAATCCATGCTTTTCCTCTTATCTACGTCCTTGCGACTTAAACTATACAATATTTTGAAAATAATTTTATTTTGAGTACGAAAATGAATATAAAAATAAAATTTTTTTGAGGATGGTGTTGAGATTGTTTCTAAGATAGTGTTTGGTTAACTTTTTAGAGATTGCTTTAGGTATAAAAAAAAAAAAGTAAAACTGTGTTTGGGTATATTTCAAAAAATGTGTATTAAGTTATAGCTTAGAAAATGAACATGAAAATGGGAACGACTTTCAATTATTTTCTATTTCCTTAACAAAAATAATTTTTACCATTGTTTATTTTCATTCACATTTTAAAAATATTTTCCAACCAAATGCGATTTGAAAACTATTTTGTTTTCTTACCTTAAAAGATGTGTAGAAACGTTTGAAAACAAGTTGAAAACAATTCAAACCAAGCCCATAATTTTTTTTTCTTCTTTTTCCTTTTTTTTTTTAGTAATTGGCTTCCAAATAATTTTTTCCAGCTTTTATTATCAAGTGTGCGTGACATCCTTTTAAACAATAATTATATAAATTATTAGGAAAAAAAAGAGAAGAAAGAAAGGAAAAAAGAAATAAAGACAAAAAACAAAAAAAAAAAGACAAGAAAAAAAAAAGCTCAAAAAGTAAATTAAAAAAATCTCAAAAAGTATTAAAAAAATGTGTACGAAATGACGCGTACATTATACCTTAACGAAATGCAAAACGATAAGATATTGATATACAATGTACCTTAACGAAATGCAAAACGATAAGATATTGATATAGATGTAGAAATAGTTTTAAATAATAAAAGCTGAGAAATCTAAGGATAATATGTGAACATTTTAAAAAAACATACGGATTATGAATATATATATATATATATTAGGAAAAATGTGAACATTTTAAAAATATACTAATTATGATTATATATATATATATTAGGAAAAATGAGTGAGAAGAGTTAATGCGATAACATCTTAAAAATTTCAAAATATATGTTTTTTTTTTTTTCACTAACAAGAAAATATTCAATAAGAGGTTTTTTTTTTTTCTTCTTTGCTTGGAATATTCTAAAAGAATTTAGTTAAAACTGGTTACTTCCTTTTTTAAAAGGAAAAAAAAGAAAAAAAAAAAACTTTGTTGTATTCTCTTTATTTTTTTAACACTTTAATTAATAACATGTGGGGCCTTAAAGTAATAAGGAGCTTTACTTACAATCATTGAAAAGAGAGTTAAAAAAAAAAAAAAAAAAAATTGGCTCACATGAGTAATGCACGATACTAAAAAAGAAAAAACACACACACACACACGAAACCACATAATGAAATGCCTTAACGAAACTTATTCTACTTTAGATTAGGGATTCTACAAGTAAGTTTGAAAAACATAATTATTAGGATTTTATTTAGAGAAATGAAAAAAGAACTCTATAATAAGACAAAAATAAAAAAAGGAGAAGATTGAAAAAAAAAAACAAACAAACAAAAGAGAGGAAAAAAGAAGGAAAGTAAAAACTAAACAAAAATAACCCACTTAAGAAATATTTTGTCAAGGGAAGAGGATTTAAAAAAAAAAATTAGACATTGATTTGTGGAAGAAGAAATGAATTCAACAAGAAGTTAAATAAAAAGTATATTTATGAGGGTCAATTTAGGGAAAGTGTTAGAAGGAAGATTGTATAATAAGGCAAAAAAATAAGAAAAAAAGAAGAGAGGGCAAAAGGGTGTTATTAATATTTCAAAACAAAAAACAAAAAGAAAAGGAAAAGTAACGAAATGACTCTGACAAAACTATTTGTTAGTGCCCAGAAAAAATCCATTCTCCTTTTTATAGGAGGTCATGGATAGAGTAATAGGATGAGATTAAAAGTTTAAGGATTCGTTAGTAGGAGTAATACCTTAAAGAACTGTTTGGTAGGATGGATGGATTCGTAGAATAATATATAGGATATGAGGGACGGAGAGTGGGAAGGAAAGGATGCATTATAATTTTTACAAAGTTGTTTGGTATAATAGGAATGAATAATTGTTGTTATCCTTCCCTCTTGTTTGGTATTGAAAAGGAAGAGGGAGGAAATGATTAGTTTGATTCTTAAAATTATTATATTATCTATGAAAAAAAATTGATTTTTTTTAGTTAAATTGTCTAAAACAGAATCAGAAATCTACAAATAAAATTGAAGTAATCAATTGCAAAAATTAGTGGAGAAAAAAAGAGAAATCTAATTTATATTTGACCCAAGAATTAAGTCAAAATGAAGCTTGACTTTCCTATATCAAACTATTGCAAACGTACACTTTGCTAACTGTGAAGTTGTTCATTTCAAAGAAACTATGAAATTGTCAAATTGACTTTTCTTCTATAGTATTTGTATTCTAGTAAAAAAATATGACCTCCGATTTTCATATGATCTTTTCCCAAATGCAATCTGAATCATTCACCCTCTAAGTTGGGGAGAATTCTTCCTCAAATTCAGAAGAACTTCAACTGATATATACGTAGAGAGAATAATTTTCGTCATGAACACGAGCTACCCACATTTTTTAGAGCAGATAAAATTTTAAATTCACGAAAAATGATCCTCTTTCATAATAGGTAAAATATAGTCAATTACATTTTAAAAAAATACATTTAATAACTTAAAATAAAATTTAGAGAACTCCCTCAATATCTAAAATCTTAAAATTAAAATTAAATTTAAGTGCCAAATGTTACGAAGTTTGGGGACCCATTGTACAAAAATCACACTAAGAAATAGTTTTTTTTTATAAAGTTTTTTGGCGAGGAGGATTTTGGGTCCACACGGTTAGACTTGGATCATTTCCCGTTCATTTCGTTGATTCGAGTTTAAAATTCGAGTTTTGCTACAGTAAAAAGCTCTCATAAACAATCACATCTAACTTTTTTGCTACAGTAAAAATCTCTCACATAAAATCACATCTCAACTCGAATAAGCGAATAAACGAGTTAATAACATCGATGGGTTCCACACACTTGCTTGGGTCCTCTTATCCACGCGCACATATTATCTTCCAAAACACTAGTACGTAAGCACTTCAATATCTGTTTCAGATTAAGTTCATCAATCTACGACAAAGCTTGTGGAATCAAATTTACTATTAATACAAGAAGACCAATAATCTCTGTGGGTGAGAACCAACCATACTTAAAACAGAGGTCGCTACGACCGTATCCAGATCGATGACCAGAAAGATGATGATGTTATTATAGGCTGCAAGATAGCACGGAATGAATGAGTCAAGAATTAATAATCTGAACAATAGAAATGTGTGAAAAGTAAATTTAATCACTTAAAAATTATGTAGAATGTATGTGTAGTGAAAAAATGAGTGTGAAGAGTAAAGATAAGGGTGTGAATAGAGAATTAAGATCTGATGTTCAATATTCTTGTCTCAATGACTGTCATTCCAATTAAATTTTGACAACTCATAATTTGTTTAAGTATTTTTAGTAATTTTTTTCTATTTATATGGTTAGATTTTTAAGTTTAGATGAGATGGCAAATAAAAAGTGAGAAAATAAACACCAAGACAGGAAAATTATTATTCGATCATCATCACATATCACATAGAAAGTTTAAGGCTTGATGCATACGGCCTTGAACACAGAGTATATTACTACAAAAAAAAAAAATAATAATAAAAAAAAACATAAAAATAAAAAATTAAGTTTTTTCTTTTAATTTTTTTGGCGAGGGGGATTTTGGCTCCACACGGTTAGATCATTTCTTTTTAATAACATCGATGGGTTCCACACACTTGCTTGGATCCTCTTATCCACATACACATTATCTTCCAAAGCTCTAAAAAGCTAACGAGTTGAACGTTGCTTGGATCCTCGTATCCACATACACATTATCTTCCAAAGCACTTCAATATCTGTTTCTAGATCTTGAACTCAGATTAAGTTCATCAATCTACGACAAAGAGCGTATCCAGATCGATGACCAGAAAGATGATGATGCTATTTTAGGCTGCAAGAAAGCACGGAACTTCAGGAGAAAAGATCAATTAGGTAAGATAATTATCTTAAATTAGCAAGAAGTAGAGAGTTATGCCTTTGTTTTAATAGAAGTACTAGAGGTTAAGACTAAAGATGATCTGTCGGGTGCTGGTAACTCCAGTCATCAAGATAACAAAATATTATAGATAACTAATTCATAATTTAATAATTTTTTCAGAGAAAAAAAGAAAAAAATAAATTCTGAAAATCTATATATGACTAGTACAAAAGTAAGCTCAAAACTTTTTTTTTCTTTTTTTATTAACCTTGTTGCTTGCAATTTTGGAATTTGGATTAAAAAGAAGAGAAAAATGAGAGCACTATTTTATGTCATGGCCTTATTAAGAAAAATTACTATTTTGAGGTCCGATCTGATACAACAAAGAGAAATTATTAGATTGAAAATTTTTTGCATAGCCTTTGTCTATTGATGATGATGAATTTATATACACAATACAAAGAATTCAAATATGAGTAAGTTTTCTAATCTCCTAAAGTCAAGGATTAAATTAAAAAAAAGTAGTTTTATTTACATATTCTTATTTACTCTCCACACCCTCTTTAAGTTAAACTTTTTTATTTCAAAAAGATCCTAACATAAAATGACAAAAGTGACAATTAGGAAAGGCTTAATTAAATTTTTTTTTAAAGGGAAACTAATGATACGGTTTTTTTTTTTCTCCTAATACATCCCACAAGTCAGATCCTCAAATTATATAAATTATTGCTATTTAAAAATGTATAATAAGACCCTTATTTTCATATTTCAATGACTAACCCCGAAAGTTGCATGGACATATATTGATTTTTTTTTTTTTGTTGTATGATGATTATTCTTTTTTTTTTCGTTTTTATGTTTGTTTTTGCTTATCATTTCGTTTTGTTTCTTTTTTTCGTTTTTTATAAAGTTGGATTGATTTTTTGGTGTATCCTTTTTTTTTTTTCCTAGAAGAACTACGGAATGTTTTGCATGGAAGTATCCACTCTCCATACAAGATGACAATACCAAAATATTAGCATCAGCCTCTCTTTCACTCTGCGTACGTCCTGCATGAAGAGTAACTGCAGGTAAGCATCAGTAACTTTGTCACATCTTGCCCAAACGTATATGAAAAAAAGGCTAATGCCTAAAGCTTCAACTTAAAGAAAAAAAAAAGAGAGAAACAGATAAATGACAATATTAAAGTAACAAATTAAAATAAACTGGTGGGTGTGAAAAGAAAAAATGAATGGGTCAAGAATTAATAATCTGAATAATAGGTGTGTGTGAAAAGTAAATTTAATCATTTAAAAATTATGTGGGATGTATGTGTAGTGAAAAGATGAGTGTGAAGAGTAAAGATGGGGTGTGAATAGAGAATTAAGATTTGATGTCCCATATTCATGTCTGAATAATTGTCCCTCCAATTAAATTTTGACAACTTGTGATTTAATTAAGTATTTTTAGTAATTTGTTTCTATTCATGCGGTTAAATTTTTAAGTTTAGACGAGCTTGTAAATAAAAAGTGGGAAGACAGCCACCGAGATAGGAAAATGGAGACAGTAAATCTAGACTCGTGAATAGAACCACCCTAAATTAAAATATAAACCTTACGAAACTAAATATAGGTACCTTAAGGTCATGTTTTGTTATATGAAATCTTTTACTTAAGTTTTGTCCTCGTCATTTGGGGCGCGTCTATTCACACCCTTTTTCACTTTTCACACACCTTTTACTAATGTAATTTTTTAAACTTAATTACTCATTACTAAAATTACGTTTAAGGACAATAATATTTAAAAATAAATACTTATTACACATCTCACCTTAAAAAATAGTTTTTTCCTTTAAAAGAATATAAGCATGGATTTCTTTCACGTTCACGGTTAAATTTATTTATTACTGATTTCATCCGCTTCATGATTGTTAATTCATCTAGAGTGTATATATATATATATATATATATATATAAACTCTTCTTCATTTGGTGATGTTTTTAAATACGAGAGATGGTAATTTTGTGCAAATAGTGAACTTCTATTAAAAACAGGAGGAAAAAACGAGTGAAGCGTTAAGTGAGGTTATAAGATCTTTGTTCATTTGCTTTTTAACTTAAAATTCTAACAAAATAGGTTAATCCATATGACTCAAATATGACATTGTTCAACTCTATAATGAGTCAATTATAACAGAAGCATAGGTAGTAAGTAACAGGAAAAAAAAAAAAAAAAAAGTGAATGATCTATTGGTACTAGTATTTTAATTTATTGACTTTTTTTTTTTATTGAAATAAAACTGTAGGCCTCTTGTTTAACTGTCGCGGCTGTGGAAAGCGAAGAATTCTAGAGAAATAAAAGAGTTGTTTGGTTTGTCATTTACGCAAGAAGACAAAAGTGGTGTCTCAAAATGGCATTGGAACTTGTAGCATTGAAATTGGCAGAGGCTGTTGTATCCCAAGTAGTCCAAGCCCTCACTGACCTACTAAAAAATGAAGCGGTCGCCTTGAGCAGTGTGAAAGAAGATGTGGAGTACTTGCAAGAAGAATTGATAATCATGATGGACTTCTTAAAAGATGCTGACAAGAAACAGGAACTAGATAATCTTGTCCGCAGATGGATAGCTGAAGTTGAAGATTTAGCCTGTGAAATTGAAGATGCCATTGAAACCTTCATCTACAAGGTCAACTCCTCGTACAAGATCAAAGCTATGCTCCATCAACGCGAACTTCAGAGGAAAATTGTCTCCATCAAGAACAAGATAGAAATTCTCAATCGACGAAGGCAAATGTACAATATAGAACGTAGCAGTGGTGAAGGAACCAACAGTTCACGGAGGAGTTTGAGAATGACGTACCCGGATGATGATGATGAAGACGACATTATCACGTTGAAGGATACCACGGCAGCTTTGAAGGCTCAACTGATGGCAGAGGAAGATCGTCTTTGTGTGGTGTCCATTGTGGGGATGGGGGGACTCGGAAAGACTACACTTGCAAAGAAAGTATACAACGATGTTGATGTGAAGAAGCATTTTGATTGCTATGCTTGGGTTTTTGTCTCTCAACAGTGTGCGCCAAGGGATGTTTGGTCGGAAATCCTAATGCAAGTTGGCTTTCACTCTGATCAGCCTGAAAGAACAACTTTGGGGGGAAAAAAATACACAAGACAGTCGTTGGAAAAAATAAAAAATAAAAGAGAGCTTGTGAAAGATTTAGATGATCATGAGCTAGCTGCTGCAATGAGAAGTACACTACAAGAGAAGCGGTATCTTATCGTTCTTGATGATATTTGGAGCATTGATGCTTGGCACAGTGTCAAAAAAGCTTTTCCAAAAGGAAAGCTCGGAAGCAAAGTTGTATTCACTACACGGAATGAGATAGTAGCTTCAATTGCTGATCCTCAGAGCTCCCCCATCAAACTTCCACTTTTAACACGCAATGAGAGCTTGGAGCTTCTTAAACTAAAAGCATTTCCAAAAGACGATTCTGCTCAACATGGTTGTCCATTAGATTTGGAGGAAGTAGGAAAGCAGATGGTGGAAAAATGTGGCGGACTACCTGTTGCAATCGTCGTGCTTGGAGGCTTATTAAGAACAAAAATGAATTCATTGGATGGATGGAAAAAGGTGCAAAAGGATGTCCAAGCAAGCAGCATCAATAAGCTTAAATCGGAAAAACAATACGGGGTGGAAGACATCTTGGACTTGAGCTTCCAAGACTTGCCTTATTATTTAAAATATTGCTTTCTTTATTTGGGTAGATTTCCGGAAGATAGTGAGATACCAAAAGGAAAACTGATTCAACTGTGGATCGCAGAAGGTTTTGTGCCGACTACGGAAACAGAAGATGCTGAGCAATACTTGGCAGAATTGATCAACAGATGCATGGTTCAAGTTGGCAAAAGGGAGCCTGTAAGGAACGATGTAAAGACATGCAGATTGCATGATCTAATGCGAGACTTCTGTATGTCCAAAGCAAAGGAAGAAATGTTCTTAGAGGTTTTGCAGCCAAATGAGATGAATAAGTTTTCTACTGCTACTCGTTCACGAAGAATTGCTATTAATGTTAAGCATGATCTTGTTCAGCATACGCGCTGGGTGGAAAAAGTATGTCCTCATCTCTGTTCTCTTCCAAACTCTGTTTCAACACCTTGGGCGGAACAAGTACACTCTAATCTTCGCTCTCTTTTGTGCTATGTTCCAATTTTATCTATGAGACAGAAGAAATTTGCCTTGTTAAGAGTGTTGGAACTTGATTTTATTTTGGAACGGGTAACCAAGCTTCCAAAAGGAATCGGTAATTTGATTCACTTGAGGTACCTGAGAGTAAGCGGTGTTACAAAATTAAGATTGCCATCCATAGGCAACTTGCGAAATTTGCAAACTCTGGATCTTGCAAATAATGATGAGGTCTCGCTTCCAAGCACAATGTGGAGGTTGAGAAATTTGAGACATTTGTTATTACCTTATAGGTATTCACTTCCTTTCTGGACAAGCAGGCCTATTTTTAAAAATGATGTCGTAACAAAGCTTGAGACTTTGATGATAAATGCAAAGGATTTGATCAGACATAATGCAGTTCTTCCACTGAGGAATATTCAAGCTTTAGGAATATGGGATATTAGAAGTGATAAGGAAGTTACCTTAGTCCTTGAGTCACTCAACTCTCAATCTCAATCCAGTGGCCTTCGAACATTGACGATGTACTTTTGGGATGGAGAATTTCCGAAGCTTGAATTGCTTTCTCATTGTCACGTTCTGTTGAGTTTGGAGTTGGGGGGTGCAGTATCGCACGAAAACATTTCATTTCTGCCACCAAGCCTCACAGAATTTCGTATACATAATTGTATGTTTACTCAGGACAAAATAGAGGTTTTAGAAAAGATGCCAAACTTGAGAATTCTCTCCGTGAATTTCGACACTTCCTTTAAAGATAGGTATAAATGGGTTTTCTCCGTCGATGGATTCCCTAAGCTGGAGATTCTTGAACTCAGTTTCTTAGTGGGATTAGAGGAGTGGAAATTCTAAACTCGAATCAGCGAAATAAACGGATCCGTAAATTGAATGTTGCTGGCATGGTGAAGGAATTTGAGGACAAGATAAGAGTAAATGAAGACGGAATTGAAGGGGAAGATTTCTACAAGGTGCGCCACATTCCCGCCATCTCAATCTCCAACATTCTTGGTACATAGGGATATGTTGAGTCCTTTCTATATACATAAAATCCAAGTTCAATCCTTCTCTAATTTAATCTTTCTATTTTGAGTTTGTTTGTTTGATAAGTAACGTTTTCTGTATACACTTTTTTTCCTGTCATATAAATTCATGCCTTTCCTCATCATCATCCTTGCAACTTAAACTATATAGTATTTTAAAATGGTTTTGTTTTGAGTACTAAAAGAAATCATAGCCTGAAGTACAAGGAATATCTTGAAAAGCGCAACTTAAAAATCTTATACACCAGGAATTTTATAACGTCAAAGACATTCTCAAAACATTTGATACGAATTACGAAAAGCTATTGACGCTTCAAGAACTAATTGCTATAAAGTAAAACACAAATCAAGTAAGAAACTTGTAAAGTAAGAAATACATGAATTGAAATAAAAACAACTCAATCGATAACTAAGCAAAACGAAGAAACATATGAAGAATTTAAAATGCTATAACCAAAATTACGTACTCAAAATTGTATAGCAATTGGACTTTTTGAGGGATTGGATTTTATAATTTTCCCCCGCATGTTAAAAAAAAAAAAAAAAAAAAAAAAAAAAAAAAAAAAAAAAAAAAAAAACGCTTCGCATGTCAAAAAGGTAATCTAGAAGAGTACGGTTTGTAATCTAGTATACTTGCCAAAAGTCAATAATAGTAAGATCATCTCCAATATAAATACTAATGTCAATTGTATATTTAACATTAAAAAGTATGATATGATATGTTATTTTTATTTTCACTTTAATGCATAATGCTACTTAAATTGTTAAATCTACCTTTTTCCATAACCACTTTGAGAGTTGTAAAACTTAGCTTTTATTTTTAAAATAATTAAAAAAATATAAAAGTTGTAATGATTAGATAAATAAGTAAACATTTCAATCAATAATAATTAATTACTAAATTTCTCATGTGTTATACTTAGTAAGAACATATGAGAAATTTGATATAATAAATAGCATTGCATTAGAGAGTGTTTTTTTGTTCTTAAATGTTAAATTTGTAATTGACACATGAATTAGAGTATTGCATTAGAGATGTTCCAAGTGTAACTGAAATTGCACTACATGTCCAAAAGGTAATCTACAAGATTTCCATCAGTAATCTACTAGATGTACCCATAAGGCGGTCTTCGACCACCGACTCTAGTCACCGACGACGGCCATGTACAGTTGCCATGGAGGCAATCAATGCCAGAGAGCAATATTGTTGATTAGTTTCTTTTACAATTTACCAAATTAATATTTCTTTTCAACAAAAAACAATTACTGTCGTTGATCTTCAGCATTGGAGAGCAATCTAGTGGATTATTATTATTATTATTATTCTGTAATATACTAGATTATTTTCAAATCTAGAAAAATTAGGTACCAACAGTCTCTAGTAAAATCACCGACTTTTTTTGGTTGTTAGAGAGTAATATAATAGATTACTTTTTTTATTTTCAACACAAAAAAATATATATTTTGACTATCTTTGTTCATTGACACCGGCCGCCGAGGAGTAATCTAGTAGATTATTATTTCTTATAATCTACCATATTATTTTTTATTTTCCACAAAACAAATGACCAATTGTCTCTAGTCGTTGAAAGAGAATCTGGCAGATATTTTTTATAATTTACTAGATTAACTCTAAAGTCAATACAAAAACAGAAAGAGAAGTAAATAGCATATAGAGAACTAAATTTGGTAGATTTTAAAGTAAATAATATTTTATCACATAAATTATTTATTATGAAAAATAAGGTAGATACCATATATATTAATAATTAATTACTAATCGTCAATGATTTAACACATTAAAAATTAATTATTACTTATTAAAGAGTTTATAATAAGTAGATAATAAACGAATAAATAACTGTAATTAATTAATTATTAATTGAATATTAATTAATTTGTAATACATATATGTCTTCGATTTAATTTCTTTTTGTTTTATTGATTCTTTATGTCATTATTACGTACGGAAACACTCAAAAAACATGGGCGGATGCACGTACGCGCACGTTGAACATGTTTAGGGAACTCGACCATCGATGATAATTGGGCATATAACGTACGTGAAGCGTGTTGACCGTTATTTCTAACTAATTAACAGTAACCACATCGACCCACGTACGAACATTTATTTCTAACAATAACTAATAACTACTCTTGTGGATAAGATTAACGAAAATGACATGGCATGCTAATGTTGTTTTTTTTACTCTATGCATGTATCACGTACGAATACTGTACAATATGGCCAGGTCATTTTAGTAGATCGACTAATGATAGGCCAAAAAACTTCTCACAAAATCAATACATGATACAGATGATTTTGGAAAAGATCCAAGGATTAATTATGGTAGTGATCAAAATCCATTGCCATAGAATTTCGGGTGAAATGGGAATAAAACCTCAATAGAATTTCAAAGTTAACACTAATTTGTTACTTTTCCCAACGTTCTTTTTCTTTTTCTTTTTTTTGCTAATCAAATTTGGTCGTATTTAGAATTGAGTCTGTTTTTGTTTTTCACGTTTTTCAATAAAAAAATTAAAAACGTTTCTAAAATGGTGTTTGGCGTAATAAAGACAAAAAAACATAAATGAAAACGATTTTTTTGTTTAGTGTAAAATGAGAAAGAAATGAAAAATGACTTGTAGTCGTTTTTCATTTTTTATTTTCGTTTTCTCCTCTCTCAAATAAAGAGAAAGAGAGACATTAATTAGTTTTTTTACATTGAAAACAATCTCTTAATTAAACTACTAAACGTATTTTTAAAAATAATTTCTGTCTGATATTGAAAACGTTTTTATTTTTATTTTCATATAAAAGAAATAAAATTATTTTACAAACGCTCCTAGTTGTTTCTCCTAACTTAAAACACCTAATTAAAATTCGTAAAATGATTATGCACTATTTTTTCATTTGCTTAATGATCACGTGCTTTGCTTTCTAGGGAAGGCCTTTTTTTTTTTTTTTTTTCGGGGGCTTTTCCGGTCAAGGCTCTTTAATATTCTTTTGGTTAATTTCGTCTGGATCAGAACTTACTATTATTGGAATTTTCAAGATTAAGATCCGTGTTTCTATTGGAGACTAGTATGAGGACGTGCCTGAGACACGTCCACCCCTTGATAAAAAAAAAAAAAAAAAAAAAAAAAAAAAAAAACAAAAAAAAGTCAAATAAACAAAAAATAAAATAGGACAAAGGATATTTATATTAGAGTTAAAAAATCAAGAGCAATAGAAAGATGAAGAAAATACAAATAAAAAAAAAAAGGATAACAAAGAAATCTGATTAAACAGTATAAGGTAATAAAAAGAATTAGATAACAGATAACATAGTTGAAAAAAACCAACAACAATTTTTCAGAAGTACATAAGAACATGAGCCAAAAGTGTACAACTAAAACACAAAATCAGTTCACGAACATAATGTACAAAAGTGTAACAAAGAAAAATAATGTACAAAGTCCTCATACAAAAGTGTAACAAAGAAAATAATGTACAAAAGTGTAACATAATGCACAAAATCAGTTCACAAAATCAGTTCACGAGCCAAAAGTGTAACACACTTAACACAAAAAAAAAAAAAATGTACAAAGGGTATTTATATTAGAAAAAATAAAAAAATCAAGAGCAATAAAAAGATGAAAGTACAAAAAAAAAAAGGATAACAAAGAAATCTAGTTAAACAATATGAACGTAATAAAAAAAATTAGATATATAAAATTATTGTTGGCCCACCTCCTAAAAGCTTAAGCTTTTGAGATGGATTGGTAAACTAACATGGTATCAGAGCGGGAGGTCCTGAGTTTAAACCTCCGTAATTGTACTTTTTATCCCCATTTAAATTGTCATCATATGTTGGGTCTTTAATATATAGCGGGCTTAAATATTCACGTGTTGGGCTTTTTAATTAATTTACCCACATAATTGTCCATTGTCCAGCCCACACGTGAGGGGGAGTGTTAAAGTATAAAAGTATTGTTAGCCTACCTCTTAATAGCTTAAGCTTTTAGGATGGATTGGTAATCTAATAAGATATGCTAGTAAAAATTTAATATTTAACGACCATTAATAACCATCATTAAAATGTTAGACGGCAATTAGGTGTACATGTTTTAACTCTTTTTTTTTTCTTAATTTTACTTTCGTTGCTTAATTCGTTCAGGGTTATATGTTTTGATTTTTTTTCTTCTTTTATTTCGTGCATGCTATTTTGAGTTGTTAGTCAATTACCTTGTCTCGTATTTTTTTCATAGATAAATTTAAGTGGACGTATTGGTGTAGAATTCTTCTGATGATTCCAATAAACTTATGCAAGTTGCGTTCTATTATCATTCAATATTGAAAATAAAAATGGTTCATCATCAAGGCATTATTTTAACCAAAAACAAATTTAGGGATTAAAAAAAAACCAATTTAATACAAACTTCCATGTCATTGACTTTTCTTGGCCAATGATAGTCACTTTAAGATGATTAAATTCTACAGGTAAAGCATATACACTTCTTTTTTTTAATACATGATGATAGAGAATAATCCATTATTATCTTTTTTTCTTTTTGGAATATTGAGATTTTCTACTGAATTTTACTGAGAATTCGGATTTTTATGTAGGTGTCTTCTATATATATATATATATATAGATATATTATATATTATAAAATATTATACATTCATATGTGTATATATATTTATATATATTTAGAGTGGGGCCTTTTCTCTATACGATTACTTGAAGTGGAGATTATTCGTGTGTTTCTTCTATTTTGTTACTTGCATTAGTGGGTAAAACTTTTAGCGGGTGCCGACTCGTTTGAGAAGTTTATGCTACTTTCTTCTCTTATTCAGTTAAACGAATTCATTGAGTTCACCTCGATATACGTGCACAGTACCGGTAGACTTGTCAACGTAGTGGAATTGGCGTAAACGAATGTCACTATTGCGTTCAGTATGTCGAAACAAATTAGGATATGATCTTAGATCTTCGATTGGACGTCGGAAACCTCAAGAACTGAGACTTGCACCGTATTTTCCCGCTTTTTCAAATAATATATATATATTGTAGAACCTCGTACACACAACACATGCAAACTCAAAAGATAATTAATAGATTTTTTTGTGGTTGATTTCTGTACAGATCCCGTTGTCTAGGGGTACTGAGACATGATGGAGCAAGTGGGTCTTGATAATTAATATTGGACCATTTGTTTAAACAAAATTGAACTCTTCTTCTTAAACGAAAGCCTTTACTCAGACAGTCCATGGAACGGTCTATAAATACTCTTTATTGGCCCTAACCCAAGACCCAGAACAAATCATCAGCTAAAAACCATTTTGCATATTTCGTTATCAATTAGCTGCCAAAGTTCAGTTGGTGAACAATGGAGGTTAGCATAATCTCAAAAGAAACCCTCAAACCATCTTCCTTGCCACTTGATGTGAAACCCCACAAACTTTGTCTCTTTGATCAGATCACTCCCTTCACCTACGCTTCCATCATGGTCTTCTACCGCATCACCGATCCCAATTTCGATGTCGGCGAAACCCTAGCCCAGCTCAAGAAGTCATTCTTGGAAACCCTAACTCTGTTCTACCCTCTTTCCGGAAGGCCCAAAAAAAACCTTTACGTTGACGACTTCGATGCCGGAGTCACCTATGTGGAAGCCAAAGTCAGTTGCACCTTCACTGACTACTTTAAGCTCAGACAAAATGAGCTGTTGGACAAGTTTGTTCCCTTCCCTCCCTTTCGCAATGAAACCGACACTTCAAAACCCCAATACGGGTTCCAAGTGAACGTTTTCGCTTGTGGCAGTATAGCAATTAGTACTTCCTTGGGCCACAAGATAGCCGACGGAGGAAGCTTGAGTTATTTCCTCATGTGTTGGTCCACGGCCTTCCGAGGTTTCCCACATAAAATCATCAAACCTAATGTCTCTGACGCGCCGAAAGTCTTCCCACCAAGAGAGGATTTTCCTGAGAAGTACCAAACCCTAATGAACCAGTTGTGGTTCAAAAAAGGTAACTTCGTAACGAGAAGATTCGTGTTCAATGCCAGATCCGTCGCTGCACTGAGAGAGATGGCGAAAAGCGAGCACGTCCCAAATCCGTCACGCAACGAGGCGGTGTCGTGCTTTGTATGGAAGCACGCGACCGCGGCTTCTTGGGCCGTGTCGGGATCCGCTAAGGCTTCGATAGTAGCCCATGCGGTGAACATGAGGCCAAGACTCAAGTCCCAAGTGTTGAACACTTCAATTGGAAATCTGTTTTGGTGGGCAATGGCAGATTCCGATAAGGCAGCTGAAGAGGAGTTGCAAAAACTTGTGGGAAAAATGAGAGAGTCATTAGTGAATTTCAGCAACGAGTACTTGGAGAGCTTGGAAGGCGATGTTGGCTTCGCAGCTGTGTCCGATTTCTTCGATAAGATGGAGGGGATTCTTACTTCCGAACCCGAAAATGCACCGGATATTTATGGATTCTCAAACTGGAAGGGCTTCTTTAATGAGGTCAATTTTGGGTGGGGAAAGCCTATTTGGGTCGGAGCACATGGGAAGGTTGGTTCTGAGTTTAGGAATCAAGTATTCTTCGTTGACGCACAAGGTGGCGAGGGAATTGAAACCTTTGTGACGTTGGAAGAGAAACATATGGCCGCTTTGGAGAATGATCCAAAGTTTTTGGCCTTTGCTTCTCCAAATCCTGAAGAAGTTCCTGGCGGCAATATATATGGTTTTAGTCATTACTGACGAAATATTTACTGGTTCTTTATTTAAAAGCATTTAATAGTTTGCCTCAAGTATTTTCTATGCTATATATTAAGTTTGATGTATTATCTATTATCAGCGTGACATTGACGAGTCCCGTATGTACTAAATAAAGGACTCTCATACTTTCTGTGAAAAGTATGCTTATATAATTATTTGGCCAATAATGAAAGTAAGTATTGGTATAAATTATCAAAAGTAATCCAATTATTGTCAACAGCTTGTGTGAGCTTCTCATCAGCCATTGTTGTGACTTGTTGATTGTTTTAGCCTTTTTAGGAATAGTTTGGAAGAACAAATTAAATATAGCAGCGGAGTTCAATAGGATATATATATATATATATAATCGTGTTTTAAATGACAACTTTGAGCCATATTAATACATTTTGAATATTTACTTCTTTTTTTTTTTTTTAGTGGTATTGAATATGAGTTTTATTGTTAAGCATAACGTTTATTTTTGTTTACGTCCGATATGTTTGAAAGAGAAAAAATGGAAGCAAGCGGTAACATGTATGGTTGTAGGTTTAGCTACATAATTAGTCCAGATATATACTTTATGTTTTAGTTTTATAGAAAAACTAAACCTTTGTGAAAAGAAAAATAAAAATGTGAAAAGAAAATCTTAAAACTTACGGATAATTTTAATCTCAAAAAATGAGCAAAATATAAAATACCCTTGAAATATTGGGTTGTACATTTTTATTTTTATTTTTTTCCTAATATTTTAAGGTTTCATTTTTTTTATTTATTTCTAAGGATAGTTTGACCATTATAAAGGTTAACATCAATTGTTGACTGAGGTAAGGTAGAGATTTATATATTAAATAAAGCAGTGACAGAGATAGGTTAGGCCGTGGAGGCCTAAATTTTTGAAAATTTGTTTTCTTACGTAGAGTTTTTCAAAATTTTTAATATATGCCCCCTACATTTTTAAAAATTTGTTTTGTCGCATTTAGCTTTTTTTTAAAAATTTATATGTGCTTCCTCATTAATAAGATTTTATACATACCTTCTCCTTAACAAAATTTTCTCTAATTTATTCCTATTAATATGTTTTAAAATATATCTCTACTAAAAAAAATTTCTTTCTGATTTATTTTCCCATGTTGAAGTAATTTTTTCTTTTTTAAATGTATCGCTACTTAAATTTTTTTTCCATACGTTCTCTTAGTCCTTCAATACAATATCTTTACAAATGTGGCATATTATATACTTTTTTCAAAATTGTCCTACTGAAATAATTTTTAATATGTCTCTACTTGGACATCTTTTCTCATGCATCCTTTTCAAATATTATTTTCTCTTACTTACCTCCTAAATAATTTATTTCAAATTTGTAACATCAATATGATTTTCATTAAATGTTCTACTTTATTTTTTTCAATAAACTATATACATAAGAGAATAGTAAATTAGATTAAAAACTAATCTTTTTGAATATTCTACTACTACATAAAAAATTTCAACAAATTGAATATGTATGTCCTTCCAACTATGTAATAGTAATAAGAGTTGATAAATTGAAGGTTTTGAAGGCTTTTCATGTTTTTAGCTTATGCTTTCCCTGAATCAAAATCCTGACTCCACCACTGGAGTAAATTAAGATAGAAACCGAAGTAAAAGTTTTTTAATAAACCTATAGAATATGGTACATAAAGATAAACATTGCTATTTGTATTTGTAACGCCCTTCACAAACTAACTGCTAAAAACTTCACCAGCTTGAGAGAAACATTAACTAATATAAAATAATAGTTCATAATGGAAAAATTATGTCCACTAGAGAAATAATCCTTGAACACATTTCTTAAGATTACAAGTTTCAAATCTTAGAATCTCTAAACTCATTATGGGACCTTGGACCATTTTTGCTCAATTAATTAGAGCTTCTATCAAAGAGCTTACATGCATCAAGAACTATACAAGCATATTACTTAATAAGTAAAGCATAAACTAGTTTCTGCTTCAAAATACTTTCTTTATGCTTTAACTTTAGCACCCTCTTGTATAACATTAGTTTTATGTTATTAGAACCCCTAAAATGTGGCCCCTGTTTTAGAAAATATTATTCCTTAAGGATTTGATCATCACCATCTTTAATTATTGGTTCATAACAAGCATAAGATTTCACAAAATATCTAGAAAATGCTTTCAAAATCTCTGCCAACATAGTTCTTCACTTACATTTATGGTTTAATTTTTTTCCTAATATTTTAGTGTTTCATTTTTTTCATTTATTTCTAAAGATAGTTTGGCCATTATAAAGGTCAACATCAATAATTGTTGACTCAGATATGGTAGAGATTTATATATATTAACTAAAGCAGATGGGTTATGCCGTGGGGGCCTAAAATACCCTCATATCTTATTAGAATTATTTTCCTCCCTTTTCCCTCTCTCTTTCTTTCTTTCTCTCCTACTCTTTCTTCTGCATGCACGCACGCTAGCTGCCTCCACCAAACTCCAACAGCCATTCGATTTTCTCTCTCTCTTTCTCTCTCTCACCTTTGCCAGCCTTCTTCCTTCTCACCGGCAAGACATTTTCTGTCGAAGTCCACACCGATCTGCGTTGACGAAAACACGAGAGATTTCAGATGCGGATTTAAGTTCTGCTTCCCACCTGCAACAACGACACCGTGGCGACAAGATCTCGCGTCAGCTAAAACCTCTTCTGCCCACACAATTAAAGACACGACAACCTCTGGAAATCTCCTTCTTGCCTCCCCAACATCGATACTAAGGAAGGAAAGATCTCTTTCGCGCTGTGGAGATGGCATGTTCCTCGGAACTTTTGAGAACAAATCTTCTTCCCGTTGGAGATAGCGAGGTCCTTCTCATTGATCTCCTAACCACAGCCTGATGGAATATGTTTTATGATGTTTTTTGATCGATTTCGTGCAGTTGTCGTATCACTTTTTGGAATTTTTATGAATTTCTTTTGTGTAAATTTATACATTATTTCTGATTTTATGAATATGAATACTTTTGTAATTTTTGTATATTTTTTGTGGCAGTACATTCTGCCACTGCTGATGATGGCGGTTCTATGTGGATTGCGGCGGTCACAGGTCGGTGACTGCAAAGTATCAATAGTATCCATGGTGAATGCCAGCCGGCTGGTATCACTGTGTGGATACCGCTGGTAGTTATCACGGCGTTGACTTTGTGAAATGATTTTGTAATGTTTAATGTTTTTTCAATGATTCAGATGAATTTTGTTGTTGTTGTTGTTTTTTTTTTTATTTTTTTTTATAGTATTCCAACGATGGCGCCGCTGGTACTAATGGTGGTTACGAGCACATACGGTCTGTAATCATTTGATATCTGAATGGATACTGACCATCATGGCAAATAGTATTTAGCTATCAGCCGGTATCACCACTTCTGTCACCAATAATTAATGTTAGTAATTGGTAGATATTGCTCGGTAAGCATCAAGGTAAGCATCAAGTATTCGGTGGATGGATATTTAAATGTATGTTTGATAGTCCAAGTATAATCTTATGACATGACTATGACTATGGCAATCTTCACAAATGTTTTTTTTTTTTTTTTTTTTTTTTTTTTTTTTTTTCAAATATAATTAGAAAGTACTTTCATAAAGAAAAGATAGTTTTTTTTTTTTTTTTTTTTTTTCTCTCTCTCTCTGGTATAAGACATTCCAAGTTAAGAATATGAAGTAGTTCCATAAAAAGCCCAATACTTATTCTCCTTGCGGTTGGATTCTTAGATTCTTAACTTTTTTTTTAACCTTTTTAATAAATTGGAATGTGGGCTTTATAAATGCCCATTTAGAGCATCTCTAACACAATACTATAATTAATGTATTAATTATAAATTTAATATTTGAATATAAAAATACTATTTAATAGGATGATATTTATTATGTTAAATTTTTCATATGTTATACTTTATGGTAAATTTCTTACTAAATATAGCATATCAAAAATTTGACATTTGAGTTCTATTGGTTGAAATGTTTACTTTTTCATATAATTATTATAATTTTTACATTTTTTAACTATTTTAGAAATAAAAATTTATTTTTACAACTTGCAAAGCTTAATAATTATGAAAAAAAATAAATTTAACATTTTAAATAACATTATATATTAAAATAAAAATAAAAATAACCTACTATATTATATTTTTGATGTTAATTAACACATTTACGTTGGAGATGGTTGAGATATATTCGTTAAGTTTTTTCTAATTTCAGCTCTTCCCACGAACGAACGTTATAACGATCGAAGAAAACTATTAAAAATACTGCACACCAAGCATTAGAAAAAGAATAAAATATGAGTTTGTTCTACAAGACTACAACGCAAGAGCCAAAGCCAGGAGGAGCAATACGAGTTAAAGACGTGTCAAAAACAAATGGTTGCAACTTCTACGTGTTGGATTCTTGGATACGAACGTCTCTGCATGCAAAGCACCGTTTCCAATAACGATACATTTACCGTTATACCCTTAGTATACGTCACATCCGAAAATACATGAACTAGTCCACACAAACATTGTTCCGCTGATTACTATCTTGAAAAGACCGTCTTGCCCATCGTTTTTCAACAAATGTCTAATTATCGAATCTCGACGTACTCGTAATCTCCTAAAGCTAGAATATTTTCGTCTTTTAAATAAAGAAAATCAAATTTTCTAAGAATCCAATAGAAAGGGTAAAAACGTAAAACAACGGAAAATCTGTCTTACAAAGCCAAACCAGAAGAGGAGGAGAAGAAGAAAGAAGCGGCGAGAGGATATCGATGGGGGGACTAACGTGCGCGGTGGTCGCAGCAGCCTTAACCTGCGCACTCACTCTCACTATGGCTCTCGGATATCAGGACCCAGTAATCCACCAAGTGACAGACGACCTTCACCCGAAATTCTCGGGAAACGAGCTTCTGGGGACGGAGAAGAAGTTCAAGATCTTCATGGAGAAGTACGGAAAGACCTACGGAAGTAGAGAGGAGTACGTGCGCCGCCTCGGGATCTTCGCCAGGAACATGCTCAGGGCCGCCGAACACCAGGCTCTGGATCCGACCGCCGTGCACGGCGTCACGCCCTTCTCCGACCTCTCCGAGGAGGAGTTCGAGAGCATGTACACCGGCTTTCGGGGTGGCCCCGGATTCGGCCACGGGAACGTTGCAAATTCTGCGGCGGCGGCGGCGGAGGTCGATGGAGGTGGCCACTTGCCGGAGAGTTTTGATTGGAGAGAGAAGGGAGCTGTTACCGATGTTAAGATGCAAGTTAGTATTCTATTTCTGATCTTTTTCTATTCTATTTCTTAGGATTTTACTTTTTTTATAAGCTAGTATATGTTGTTTCTCTTTAGTGTATGTTTTCATTTTTTTATAAGCTGCTATATATTATTTCGAGGCAGCAGTTATTAGTACTAGGCTACTAGGGTGATTAGTTACATAATGTTGATGCAGGGTTCATGTGGATCATGCTGGGCTTTTAGCACCACAGGAGCTGTTGAAGGGGCTAATTTTATTGCAACTGGCAAGCTTCTCAATCTCAGTGAACAACAGCTTGTCGATTGTGATCACACGGTAATTAATTAGTTTCCTTTGGCACATGTATTATTGTTATTATCATATTTACGTGTGTGTGTGTAAAACAAGTATATATAGAGCTCGAGCTCTCTCTGAATTAGTTCCCTTAATTTTTGAAACTTTTTGCGCCGCAAAGTGCGACGCAACCGAGAAGGATGCTTGTGACAACGGTTGCGGTGGGGGACTGATGACGAATGCCTACAAGTATTTGATGGAGGCGGGAGGATTAGAAGAGGAGAGTTCCTATCCCTACACCGGAAAAAAGGGCGAGTGCAAATTCAATCCAGACAAAGTGGCTGTAAAAGTTGCCAATTTTACCAACATTCCTATTGATGAGAACCAGATTGCTGCAAATCTAGTCCACCACGGTCCTCTCTCAGGTATATTAATTTTGGGGCCTCTTAATATTAAGACCTTATTAATTTCACCGATTCAAGTTTTGCTATAATAATTAAAAAGTAATCCGTTCATTTCACCGATTCAAGTTTTGCTATAATAATTGAAAGTAACTTTGCCTTATCTGGAAGAACTCCCAAAGGTCAGGCGTATTCAGATTCAGGTCCAGTACGTTGTTGTATCCCTGCGGATATTTCTCTTTTTAACCATACAATTACTAGTACACCTATTGTGATTCCCAATGCAGGAGTTAATATATTTCTGAAAAGTCAAAACTAAGCGATAGGGGTTTTGTGAAATCTTCTGGGATGTTAATGGGTAAGAGGATTTGAAGCTTTCAGAAATAGTCACAGATTTAAATTTTTTGTTAATTAAAAAGTTCTCACATAAAATTGCATCTCAATTCAAATTAAAAACTCAAATTAGCGAAGTAAACGGTTTTCTCAATTCAAATTAAAAACTCAAATTAGCGAAGTAAACGGGTCCTAAGGGAAGATTCATCCTCTAATTTAACAAATTATTGACATAGTAGTTAGTAATTGCTTTTAGTAGTAGTACTTTTGCGTAACATGAATCCCATTTCCTGTCCAACTAATTAACATATTACTTACACCATCTAGAGTTTGAAATTACATAGCCCCTTAGTTTTGTAATATATGTCTATGGTACTTATCCCAAAAATTAATATAGGAATATAATACATATTGCATAAATATACAGAGGAGGAAAAGGTAGATAGTCAAGTACTCTTTGGTGCTTGCATTATTTTGTGCAACTTTTCTATAATGAGAAACAATAATATCTATATGTCTACATTTCACCTACTTGATTTTTTTTTGCAATGCTTATAAGGATTGAATTGTGCGTATGTAACGGACATGTAAATTTACATATGTGCAGTGGGGTTGAATGCCGTGTTCATGCAAACATACATAGGGGGAGTGTCGTGTCCCCTAATATGCGGGAAGCGATGGGTGAACCACGGTGTTTTGCTCGTCGGATTCAGCTCCAGAGGTTACTCCATTCTCAGGTTTGGGTACAAGCCCTACTGGATCATCAAGAATTCATGGGGAAAGCAGTGGGGGGAGAACGGATATTACAAGCTCTGCCGAGGCCACGGTATGTGTGGCATGAACACTATGGTCTCTGCAGTTTTAACTCAAACCTCTTGAAAATATGGTTTGAGTCGCTCTTACCTGCAGGCTCGTCTGGAGTATCTATATACCCGGAACGTCTAATATATAGAACAAATAATTGTCTTTTCCTTCAAGAAAAACAAAACAAAAACAAAAAAAAGGAAAAAAAATTGTCCCTTTTACGTTCTGGGATTTATCACTTGTTTTTCATATTAGCTCAGTGGTAGTATATGTGATGTTTGTTATGGAGCCGTATATCTAGGTTGGCAAAATTCGGGCTAATAATGCAAGTTTGGGATCTATGTTTCTATTTATTATGTAATTTTTACTAGTGTGCGTCTACTATGTGAAACAACATATAATTACTTAACTAACTATATTATGTCTCTCGTAATAATAGTGACAAAAATTTGCCAACAACCTCGCTAATTTATGCTAGAAATTGACGACTCGATCGATTAGTTTTTCCGAACGACCTATATTAACCATTCTTCAACAAAATACGAACTCTGAAAAGAATAGTACGATTTGGTCCATACCAGTTCAGCCACTTCAAAATCAAAACAAAAAAAAATTCATCGATTCTTTCGATTATCCAACAATTGGATTTTCGCACGGAATAATATCATAGGGTGTGGTTTGGAAGCAATTTAACTATAACTAACGTTAATTCTGAACCCACACCTGTACAACAATACTGACAGCTTACCAAATGATAAGAGAGAAATAAGAGTGAAAAATAACAAGGGTGATAGTTAAATAAACGACTCCTCGAATATACAAAATGCTAATGTCGTTTCAAGAACAAGGACGACAATTCCACTAATGCATAAATTAATTGAAGGCAAACGACATACTTAGCAATGTTGTCGTTCATGAAAATCAGGGCAGTGATGGCATGTGGACCTTTGTTCATTTGCCATCCTGTAGGCCCAATCTATACGGCCCATGGACAAATGATGGCGTGCAAGCCCATTACCATGAAAAGACCATCTCACCCCTTTAATTAGTGCAACCTGACCGTTGATCTTGAGACATCTCTGGATCTTAATGGAAATTAAGCATTGTATCATCTATATCTATACATCTATATAATATATATATATATATAGGAGAGTTACCTTAACTCATTATTCAAAGATTTGGCCTCTCTATTTTATACTTTTGTGTCTGTCTTTTTCTCTTTTTCCTTTCTTCTTGCACTTTTACAAATTTTGTTGTTTTTCTTCTTTTACTCTTAAAATTTTATCTCTCCCTTATAATCCTCCATTTTATCAAATGTGACCTTCATTCATGCTCTTTTTCGTAATTAGTGTACTATTTTTTTTTTTTCAAATGTGCCCTTACTTTAATATATTTTTTCTTCTCTAATGCATGCCATAATAAGTTTCTCATTAATTTGTCCTCATTAGAATATCTTTTCCCTTAAATATATTATATGTACATATTGGTCACTATGTTCATAATATTTACTGAAGTACACACTTTGATTAAAACATGTTTTTTTGGTACATCTATTTTTTCAATAAAATATTTTATACTTCTAAATGTGCCCCAGTTAAATATATACATTTTTCTTTTTACTAATATGCTCTGTTTAAAAGTCTTTGTCAAATGTGCTCCCCACTTAAATATTTTGTATTTTTTTGTCTTTTCTCTATTTTTTTTCCTTTCTCCTCCAAAATTTTTAATTTTTAAATGCGTTTCATTGGCATTATTTTTTTTTAAATTGCCACCATTGAAATATTTTTTTTCTCAAACATGTTCCCACTAAAATACAATCATTTAAAAAGTTATTTTATTAAATATAGTTTTCATAAATACTTTTATTTTTCTAACATCATCACTGTATAGTTTTTTCTCAAATGCGATTTTTTTTAAGCATCGTTATACTTATCTTATTCATACTCTCCCTAAAAAAATCTTTTATATATTTTCAAATTATATATCTCCTTTAAATACTATTTTTAGGGTTGTTTAAAATATTTCTTTTCTAATTACCTTGCTAAATTAATTTATTCTCAAATGTGTGCCTACATAAACATATTTCACCTGTGATCCTCATAAATTTCAGATTCAGTTGCAAAATATTTCGCAAAAGTTTTTTTCTTAAAATTTTTTCTGTCTTCTTTCTCTATTTTTTGCTTTAGATTTTTTTTTTCTCATTGTTGTTTTTATTTCTTTCATCCTTTCTTTTTTGTTTTCTAACAATTTATGTAACTATTATTTTAAATGAGTGACGAGCGCGTTTTTAACTAGTACGGGATAGTCACACAACAAGAAATTAGAGCGAGAGTGAGAGTGTGAGATACGCATAAGAAATGAACAAAGAGAGAGATGAAGAAAAGTGAAGTTACAAAGAAAAAAAAGTTAGCAAGGAAAGAGATAACATATAAAGAACTCTCCTGAAGCTACTTTTTCTCTAGATATACTTCCTATATATGCTTTCTCACTATTTCATCTTCCCAAAAGGCATAAAATCTGCATTTCATCCCTAACTGCTCAAACACATGTGACCATGAGAAATCATTAGTAAAGTAAATAATAAACTAACAAGCAATAGTCAATGCCATCTCTAGTTGTCAGTATAATTTATGTATTGTGGGAGTTGTTCCTTTCCTAATCTACCTTTTGATACTATTCCCATTATTTTAGTGACATCCATTTATTTTATGGACTTTGCTTCATTATTACCGCAATTTCTATTTTAATAGTTTCTCTTGTTCAATTACTGTTTATTATTTTATTCAACTGTTTTGTGCTCTCACTAGACCGTTATCCGGGCAATTATCTTTATTTTTTGTTATTACTTTTTCCCCCCTACTTTTTTGGTCCTCTTTATTTTCATTTTTCCGGTTTATTTCTCACCGGAGAGGGAATACAAAACGACCCTGAGTTTTAGAAACTAGAAGAAACGACAACAAAGTCTTAGCTTATAGCAATCGACACAAACGACAAGAAATTTAAGAGCTTGAAGATGCTCCTGCATTAGTGCCCTATTCTTCAAAAGAACATGTGGATTCATAAATAAATCATGTCAAGAATGATAGAGGCGCAAATAAAATTATGGAGCTTTCTACGCTGGTGATATCCTATTGATGCTGCATGCCTTTCAAAGTTAGATTAGGCATAAACTACTAAAAATAAAAAGGTATACAAAACTAACTGAATTTGATATAAATCTTTATAAGATATTATTAGCTCACGCGGTGTCTCTATGCTATTATTATTGAATTCTCTAAAAGAGTTACTGACACAGTTAGTCCAACTAATTGTTACTCAGCACGTTACTCTCTGAACATTGGATTCTTACTCTTTTTAGTCTTTGACACTAAAATAAACAAAGATTTCTAAAATATAAAGGACATAATCACCTTACATAATAAATTAAAATTCTAATACATGGTTATATTATTAATTACAAAAGGCTCCAATTTTTAAGCTTTTTAAACAATAATAAAGAGACAATCTTACCCTTATAATGTGACTATTTCTGTAAAATTTCAAGTCATCCGTGATGGGTACATTTTTAATTTAATTAAATTTAAGAATGAGTTTTGGAGCCAAGAGTCCCAAATTTTGTAACCTTTAGCACTAAAGTCCCCATTTTAAGAATTTAGACACTCAGGTCCCCCAAACTCTTGTGTTGGCATCGTTAATCCCCATTTTAACTATATGAACACTCATATCCCAAAACTTATAATTTGTTGGCGTAATGGGTCCCTATTTTAAAAAATTTTACACTTAATCCCCTAAACTCTTAATTTGTTGGCACCATTAGTCCTTGTCTTCTTTCTATTATTAAATGACATGAGAGATAACATTTTGATTTTTTTCGTGTCCCAAGTCCACAAAAAAATAAATGTTTTTTGACAGAGAGGTCCAATACAAATACACATACAACTGTTAGTTATCCAATTATATACTTTTTATAATCCTATGATATTGAAGATCTTTAACAAACAAAAGTATGTAATTGGACGATTATTTATGGTGTTAACATTATTTAGTTACAATATTGGTGTAATGTGGAACCGATTTATTACCCAAAATATAATGGAATGGATGGCCAATTTCCTCAATTTCATTTATGATTTTTTTTTTTTGTTTATGCTCAATCGCTTTGTTGTCATTAATTATCATAATCAATTTATGTTAACGTATTTTAACATTATGTTTGGACAAAAATAATACGTTATACTTTAAAAAGGGGAGCTTCTAAGGACCTTCCAATTTTCCATCCAAACAAATAGACATTTTTGCGGACCAAAGGCGCGAAATAAAACTTAAAATAATGACATTTCTTATGGCATTTAATTACTTATAAAAAGGTAGATAGAACCTTTCAAAAAGAAAAAATAAAAAAGGCAGAAAGGAAATTATATTCGCACCTCATATTTTTATTGACACCCATCCTGAAAATTATTCCTTTTATTACACTTATACCCTTAAACTCAAAGGGTTATTTTATTTTATTTTTTTTTAGGGATAAACTCAAAGGGTTTAACTTTCACGTAGTCTACACTATACACTCTGCACCCCACAGGCAATAACTTTTTTTATATAAAATATTTGACGACAACCGATTTTAAAAGTCCTCTGAATTTTCTTTCTTTCCTTCAAAAGAAGCTGTTTTATCCTTGATTAGATTAAGTTAGATTAATCTGATTTGAATATACATTTAGGCAAAATATTAAATGGAGACTTTCAAGCAAAAAACAGTATTAAATAGAGACACGGTTGAAACGAAATATATATATGTATATGTATATCAAGGTTTAAATTTCATCTTGTCATTTTTTTTTTCCCCCTCTCTCTTTCCGTGTTGGGTTTTCTCAATGCTTCTAGTAATTTTGCCCAAATTATCTGCATCACAAGGACATAATAAAAATGAATATATATATATATATATAGCGATTATTTAGGCTTTAATGGGAGAATGAATTAAGAATATTATTAATAAAAGTGATGATAAAAAGAAAACAAGGTATATTTGTGAGAGATTGTTAAAACTGAAGAAAGGAGAGAGGTGGAAGAGATGAATTTGGGAGAAGACGAGGGAAGTGAGCAAGGGGTACTGTGACTGTGGGAACTTTCATAGCCATATACTTAAGTATAATTCTTTTATCTTTTTTTTAAGATTCTTAGATCTTTCTCTAAGTTGTCCTCTTTTGTAATTTTACTAATTATGGTGTGTCTTTATTATTTTAAGGCCGGGTGCAAATATAATTTCCCTCTCCATTATTGATTTTGAGCCTGTTTAGATTGGTTTAAAAAATGGTTTTTAGCTTATTTAGTCTAAAAATTACTTTTTATTTAAATAGACAATTTTAACTTTTATAAGCTCTTTTAGAATAAATTATTTCCTTAGTACTACTTATGAAGAAAAGGACATATGAAAAGATTTTTTATTTACATTTTTAACCTTTTATTTGTGAAGAACAAACTAAATATTTTCATCCATATTCTTGTATTACATTACTTTTTACAACAATAAGTATTCTTGACTTGTTTTCCTAAACAGGTTCAAAAATATCTATGAAATAAAGAAGCTCATTCTTATACACTTCAAATATAATTAAAAGATTCTAATCTATGATTCTCTTCTTCTACTACTTAAAAATAAAAACACGAGCTCTCCTAAACGAGCCTTTCATTTCAATCGTCGAATTAAAAGTTTGATTACGATGAGATTTTAATTTTATTAAAAAATATTAAAAAACCGTAATAAATTTTAAAATGTGAATAAAAAAATCAAACGAACACCAAAATTTTCCTTTCGAAGTTAAAGAAAATGTCAAATACAAAATAAAGAAAGTTGTGAGCCCAAATGCCAAGAAAATTCAGCTTATGACTTAATTTATTATTCAGGACGAGATAAGGTTAACAAAACGACCAATAGAGAAACCTTTTTGGAAGTTTGAGATCTCATAATTCAAGATTTTTAAAATTGAGACCTCATTCATTTCACCGATTTAAATTTAAAATTTGAGTTTTGTTATAGAAAAAAGCTCTAAAAAACAGTCACATTTAACTTTTTTACTATAATAAAAAACTCTCACATAAAATTACGGCCTCGTTCATTTCACTGATTCGAGTTTTCAGTTTTAGGTTTCTACAGTAAAAAGCTCTCAGAAAATGTCACATCTAACTTTTTATGTTACAGTGAAAAACTCTCAAAAAATATCACATCTCAGCTCGAATTGGAAACTCAAATCCACAAAGTGAACGAGGCCTACATCTCAATTCAAATTAAAAATTTAAATCAACAAACTAAACGGGTCTAAAAATTCAAATACGAAAAGCCGAAATGTCCTTTATTTTTTGTCTTGTTTTGAGAATTTTTTAATAGGATAAAAAAATATAATTAATTCTCTACTTTTAATCATTAAATTTATATATTTTTTTAATTTAATATAATTTTAACTCCATCTAATAATTATTAAAAACAGGTCCCAACGAAAGAGTCCAAATTCTTTTAAGAGGAAAATTGGTATACCATCACAATGAGTGGCCCCACCACTATGACAGTAATCGAGCACTCTTTTGCGTAATGACATGGAGAAGACAAGCGAATTATAAATAGGCATCCCGTCGGTACCAATAAGCATTATAAGCATCACTTTTACCATGAGTCCACTTTTAAGACAAATTGAATATTGCAACCATCCAATATTAAAAATTGCAACCATCCAATATTAAAAATTGCAGAAGCAATAAATTCATCTCGTCCATTTCATTAATTATTCATGTACGGCCACCAAACCCTTATATATGGTAAATATGATATGTATGTATACACGCACACATATTAGTCTTCTATCACTCCAAATCAAAGCAGTACTTGTGGTTAACCAAAAAAAAAAAAAAAAAAAACATGCAAGTCATCACCATCTCAAGAGAATACGTCAAACCATCAAACCCATTTCTGCACCATCTGAAACCCTACAAGTTATGCCTCTTTGACCAGCTCACTCCTCTCACTTACCCACCCGGAATCATCTTCTATCCGAATGCTAAATTAGGTCATTATATTGATCAAAATCACAACTTCAACAATAATAATTATAATGGTAATGATAATGATAATATTCTGCAAGAAACCCTCGCCCAGCTGAAGAAGTCGCTCTCGGAGGCTCTCAACCTCCACTACCCGTTCGCCGGCAGGATCAAAAACAACCTCTACGTCGATGACTTCGACGCCGGGCTTCTCTACGTGGAAGCCAGAGTCAATTGTCGTATGTCCGAGTATTTCAAACTCAGGGATACCGAGTCCTTAGACCACTTCCTCCCCTTCCCTCCCTTTCGCAAGGAAGCTGCAGAAACCTCATCGCTTCCTCAGGTCGCTTTTCAGGTAGTGCTAAATATAAGTGACGAGGATTTGTATAACATTTGGCAATTAAAGTCACAATTAATAAGGTTATATACAATAAAATTTAGAGAGAAGTTTTTTGATCTGCTAACATATTACCTTAATGTATATGTCTTCTAGCAATTTGATTAACCACATAAAAACTTGGCTGGCTAGGTTTTAAACATATATATCTATATATAGTAATATATTAGAGAAGTTTTTTGATCTGCTAAGGTATATGTCTTCTAGCAATTTGATTAACCGTATATTTTTCTGTAATGCAGGTGAACATCTTTGCCTGCGGAGGAATAGCTCTAGGTATTTCCTTAAGCCACAAGTTTTGCGATGGAGCGACGGTGATGTATTTGCTCAAAACGTGGGCAGCTGAGTTCACAAACTCTCCTGAAAAGGTCGTACTTCCAAATCTCGCCGGAGCTTCATCGGCTTTTCCGCCGAGAGACTTGCCCCAGAGCCATCTGGATTTGATGGACGAAATGTGGTTCAAGGAAACTAATTATGTCACCAAGAGATTCGTGTTCGATGCCAAAGCCATAGCCACTTTGAGAGCCAAAGCCAAAAGTGATCGGGTCCCAAAGCCGTCGCGCAACGAGGCACTCACCGGTTTTATATGGAAGCATGCGACGGCGGCCTCTTGGGCGGTCTCAGGTAAGAGAGAAAGGATACTCCAAAAGGAGAGGGAGTCAGTCCCTAGGCGTCCATTGGTAATATGTACTGAAAATAGAATAGTCCAACACTAAGTATAACACTTATTCTTAAGGCCATATAAATATACTTCCACTACACAGAATCAATTCCTGTGTCTCCTTATGCATGTCTCTTTCTCTCTAATAATATTATAACACATCAATTAAAAAGCCATAACGTGATATATTATTATTGGAGAAACATAGAAGGGAACAAGAAAAATGGTACACATGCACGAATCCTATACACATATATAGCACATAAAAATTAGGTATGATAAGATATTTATATTATGTAATTATAATCTCAAACTATAAAATAACAACAAGATATTTATTCTGGTCATGTTGTGTCCTAACTCATGCATGTTTAAATATTACACGTGAAGTACAATAATACAAACTGCATTATTTTCTTAATTAATGATTGTATAGTAACTCTTAATTATTCAGTTTCATTGTTAACAAAAAATTGAAAATAAGGACTTTTTTTTGTTTTTTGAAATAGAAATATAAACATCCTGTTCTCCAGTGAATGAAATATTTGTTGTGCTGAATGTATAAGAACTCCTCTCTTGGATGTACATATTTCCCATTATGAACTGGCTTTATACTTGTTTCCTTATTCATTCAAGCTTTAAAGATGATATAACATATAATGATTAGACATGACTAATCACCAAAATTCAAAAAAGAAATATAATTTGAGTTAATTATATAGCAAATCATGATTCATGAATAATCTGAAGGACAAACAATTAGTTCAAACAAATTACATAAATTGTGAGCAAAATTGTTTCACTTTTTTCCTTCAAATCTAAAGAATAATTCCTCTTTCCACTAACAAAAGATTAACATTACTAATATGATTTGGGTGACCAATGATGCCTATAGTAACTACTTTTGTTGACATATCCAAACACAGGTTCACCTAAGCTCTCAGTGGCGGCCCACGCGGTTAACATGAGGCCGAGAGTAAAGAAGCCCTACTCGCTGGAAAACTCGACGGGGAATCTCTTCTGGTGGGCCTTTGCGGCCGCGAATCCTGCGAACGAAACGGAGAGAGAGCTCCACCAGCTGGTTGGACTGCTAAAGGAAGTTCTTGAAGGTTTCGACAACGATTTTCTGGAAAGCATGCATGGCCAAGAGGGGTTCGCGATGATATCGGAGCTTTTGAGCCAAATAGAAGCGATGTTCTCGATGGAGTCAGAAAAACCGGACATCTTCGCCTTCACCGGGTGGAATGGCCTCTTCAACGACATCGATTTCGGGTGGGGGAAGCCGTTTTGGGTGGGAGTGATGGGAAAAGTTGGGCCTGTCTTTAGAAACCTCGTCGTTTTCATTGATGCGCAGTGGGGTAAGGGGATTGAAGCATGGATTACGTTGGAAGAAAAGCAAATGAAGGTTTTGGAGAGTGATAAGGAGTTTTTGGCGTTTGCTGCTCTGAATCCTGGGATTTCAAGCCTGTGACTTTGGCATTTAATTTGCTAATTGATCCGTGATATCTATCTTTTTAGTGATCATCCCATGTTTTCTGGAAATAAAATTAAGGAGAAGGGATCATTCTTTTCTTCCTAATTATGTAGTTGCTTGTTTGAATGACAGCAAATTAGCGATTTCGTTGGTTACAATTGTTGTTGTTGTTGTTTCAAAATATCTATACTTGGACAATTATTGCACTTTGTTTGTTTTCTGGAAGGTATCAATATATTGTGCCTTCCACCTTAGTTCCGCTTGGAAGGTACACAGTACCCTTGTTTTTTAAGTTAAAGGCTTTTTTTTTTTTTTTTTTTTTTTTTTTTTTTTTTTTTTTTTTCCCTTAATTTTTTTTTTTTTTGCTCTATGTTTTTTTTTCCCTGATACGACCTGTGGAAATTTCGTGAGTTAACATTAACATATAGTAAAATCTAGTTTGATAAAAGAAAAGGGAATGTCAGCATCACTTTTTATGTCACTCTCTATATTAAATGATTGCCACGCGAACTTTATTAATATAATATATTATTATCTAAATAGAAAATAAGATAGTAAAATCTATATATTAAACATCAAATGCAGTAATTGACAAAAAAGTGATTAAAAAAGTGATGCTAACATTTTTTAAAAGAAAAACTAGTGTAATAGCAAGTAATGCTTTAGCATTTTTTCATTATACAATTGAAAACCTACCATAGAATTTAGAATTTGTATAAGTTTAAATTGAGCTAAATAATAATAATAAATGGTACAAGTAATAACAATTATTATTATTATTATTATTATTATTATTATTATTATTATTATTATTATTATTATTACAACTCTTATTATTATTAATAAAATTTGATATTTACTTCCATAAATTGGTTGATCGAATTTTGAATGTGTTTTCGCTTTTAGCTAGGTTTTCATTAATTTAGCAGCTCAATTATATATTACCTCTTTTATAATATTTATTTATAATAGCGTAAATAGAAACCTGAAATTTTCAAAATCTGTGTCGCGTTACTCTCTTTTCCCCGGACCTAACAAGACCTAAGGAAAACAAAAGACTCGGATGATCACTTTGTACCATTCTGGTCACAATTAATCAGAAGGAAAAAAAAAAAAAATCTCAACTAATGTCACAACCTTTTCTATGATCTTGTCACAACTATTTTTCTTATGTGTATTTAAACCGTTTCCTTAAAAATTAAAATAGCTCCTTTGAATTTAAAAAAAAAAAAAAAAAACATCAAAATTTTAAAAGCTAATATTAAAATTTAATGGGCCAATATGGGTTTAAATGGGCTAACAAGATTAAATGAGGGACGGACATGCCATGGCACATCAAGGGTTAATGGACTATATCGGGCCAATTAGTGGGAATTTGTGGATCAGCCCGACACGACATGAACAAATAATAGACCGTGCTAAATACGATTATAGTACGATCATGCCTACTGTCTAATTAAATCAGTTGTGTCAGTACAGCCTGACCCATTTGATAGGTTTAGACGAGAGTTATAAATTGATTTTGGAGAGAAAAAAAAAATATGTCGAGACTTGAGATTGAGATGAATTAAAATTAATAAGTTAATAATTTATATAAGTTAATAAATAGGTTAAAGTATTATTTTTATCCATAACTTGTCTGATTATAAACTATAACTTGATGAGTTATTATTCATAATTTACGATTTTTGTCCATAACTTATGAATTATAACTTGATAAGTTTATTTATAACTTATCTAGTTATAAACTATAACTTGATAAATTATGACCTATTAATTTCTATAATTAAAAATTAACTTATATACTTTCTTAAATTTTTTATATTGACATATTTCCTGCTATTTCTATTGATTTTGCATCAACAATTAAAATGAAAGAAATAAAGAAAGAAAGAAAGAAAGAGAATAATAGAAAAAACAAAAACAAACTTGAACTTATCAAGTTCATTGGTTTTACTCATTATTATGGTTGAAGGATCTTTAGATTGAAAATGACTCCACTTAATTATGTGGTTCATTTTCAATCCAATCGCAGCAGTTCAGTTGCAATCAAAAGAATGGTATTGGATATATCCGAAATTTCTACAAATCCATGATTATTAGAGTCTCATTTAGTTTGTTGATTTGAGTTTTTAATTCGAGTTGAGATGTAACTTTATGTGAGAGTTTTTTACTGTAGTAAAAAAATTAGATGTAACTGTTTTTTAAAATTTTTTACTGTAACAAAACTCAAATTCTAAACTCAAATCAGTGAAATGAACGGGACCTGAGAATATCATCGCTCTCCCTATTGTAAATTTTCTTAAAGGCACTGAGATTGAGTACTCTTTTTTCTTCTTTGGGTTTTACTTAGAAGGTTTAAATGAAGCTCTGTTTTCAGAGGCAGAGCATGGACGTAGGGAAA